CTTCTTATGACTGTTAATGGATTTTTGTGTGTGATATATTATGACATGAGAACCAAAGATACAAAATGGAAATTAGACTCCATACGTTAGCAGGTTGCAATTTGGCAACAAAGAGTGACCCAAAATTTGCTAATAGTTCTGAACTTCCGTTTCACTGTTTCACCCTTTTAACATATTCTGCACATTTCTGAAACTATCCTTAACTTTAAAAATTGAGTATATGCCCTTATGTGTGTGTATCTTATGAATGCAATGTGGCTGGAATAAAAATTAAACTGTTCAAGGTTAATATTCAAATTAGAATAAGAAACCTTACTGAGTTAATAAACAAATCCTATAGAGCACTTGTTCCAATAGTAATAATCAAAATAATACAGAATCTTTCATTGTGTTACACTAGACACTGAGATATAAACACATGTCTATAATCTATTGAAAGTAATTCATTGTATTGCTACAAAGAAATCCTTTCAGACAATGGTTTATTTGTAAGCAGAGATAGCCTTGCTGGCATTGAGCCAGGAGCTAGAGGCACTGCTTAGAAACAGTTGTCAACAGTTTTGCATGATAAAGAAATGGAGATCCCAGAAACCAACTTTGCATTCAGCTAATCTCTCTATTTTCCCACACCAGTACTATGTACATTTGCAGTACTGCTGCCAATGCAGCATGACACTTCAGTTGTTTTTTAAAACAGATTTTCTATTTTATTTTAAAGGGGGAACAGGGGTTCGTAATTCTCACTGCAAGTAAATAACAACACATTACATCTGGTGAAGTGGACTTTGGTCCACAACATTTTAATATCATGGCATTTCTAATTCCCACTTGAAGGAAATACAACACATTACATCTGATGAAGCTGACTTTGGTCCGCAATATTAAAGTGCTGTGAGATTTTGTGTTGCAAAAAGAGACTGACATTGTCAAATGGGCTGTCTTTGGGTGTATTGGCTTTGAGAACTGGCTCAGACTATGCATTTTCGAAAACCCTAATGTGATCATTTTTAAAAAGGCATCGTAGATAGAAACTCCATTAGAACTATTTTGATGTCTGTGCAATCGTTCTGTAGAAACCTCTATGCACAGTGTATAATCTACTTTTAAATAATAGTGCAGGGAAGAAGGAATCAAAAGAAACCTGACAATATGAGGAAGAACAGTATTTGCAATTGACATGACTGCTTCCAGCATGGCGGATTTGTAGATTTTGTGTATACGTATCAGCACACACCTCCTAGAACTTGGAAATAACTGGTTAATTAACATGCAGTTATTTACTTGCAGGATTTCCTTATTGCAGTGTGGCCAACTCACTAACTTTCCTGATTAACACCAAGTCAATCTCATTCCTTAGTGAGCCAATTAATGAATTAATTAAATGTATTATGGACTGTCAAGTCCTTTGAGGGAGGGAATTTCCAGATGGGGACAAGCAAATTTAAAATGAGAAAAAGAGAACTCTTGAATGTTCCTAGAATAAAATGTGCCCTTATTATCAGTTATGACAACCTCTATGCTACTCTCTGAAACCTCCTGGTCTGCTCTGAAAACTAACAGTTTAAATAGATTTGGTCACTGGTGAATTAATTAAATGGTTTTAATCATTAGTTTTGGTGGTAATAAATTTATTGCTGTGTGTTTTCAAGTTGTTTCTGACTTAAGGCACAGATTATGGGGACTTCTTGGCAAGACTTGTTCAGAGGGGGGATTGCCTTTGCTTTCCTCTGAAGCTGAGAGTGTGTGACTCTGTGGGTTTCCATTGCCTGGTGGAAACCAAAATCCTGATGATAGCCAATTACATTTTCACAGGGCAATTGTCAATTAGATGATTGCTGAACCAATTAACATAAGATAGGTTTTATGTTAGTAAGAGTAATATTTCACAGAGTGTTTGATATCTCTCAGTCTATGTCTGCACTGAAAGTAATTCATTGTTCAGTGTCACAGAAAACAAAAGAATGACACACTATACAAATAAAACATAATGCTGTCTTGTTCTTTACTTCTGTTCTAAGAATAAATCAGTAACTGTGTTCAATGTTAACATTTATCACTTCGTGCATTGATAAAAATCAGTCACATACACAAGGAAGGGCATTTCAAAACAGAAACAAACTTTATTAAACGAACAGGTTAAATCAACTAGATAACATATTCAACATTTTCTAAGTAAAATAAAATTTTGGGTTACATCCCGGAAATTTGTACATGCTTTCAACAACAGAAAAGAAGCCTAATGTATGTATTGTCTTACTCTTTTGCAATTCCACAATGTCATAAAAGTACACTGGCAATGTTTATCATTTATAGACAAATATATATTTAAAAGCTGATTAAAACAACCAAAATTACTACTACTCTTCCGGGGCAGAGGTCCAAAAGTTCTTCTGTGTTCTGTGCAGCTCCTATAATAACAAAAATTACATAAAGAGCATTCTGAATCCCATGAATGATACAATTGGGCCAAACTTCCCACAGAGAACCCCAGTGACCAACTGAAAATAGTGTGTTTTCTGATGGTCTTTGGCAAGCCCTCTGACAAACAAACAAAAAGGGAGATATGTTTGGGCATGGAAGAGTGACAAGCTACTAATATTACTCATTAGATTGAGGGTTGTTAGTCACAGAGAAAAGTAGATCTGTCCTATTCACATATATCTTGTTTGAGACAAGACAATTTGTAAAGGACTGAAATGTACTTAAGCGAAACTTTGTTTCTTATAAGCTGTAGAAATGCTTCATTTCCCTTATTGTTACTTTATGTCAAATAGGATTTACTTCTTTATGAAAACTACACAAACCTGCAAAACATACATACTAGAAAAGAAAATGAAATACAGCAAACTCCATGATCTCACTATTAAATCAGTTAGGCAATGACAACCATAATTCTCTCTCTCTCTCTCTCTCTCAATTCAAAGAAGCTGTTTTTGTCTCAATATTGAACTAGATGAGAGAGAACACACTGAACATTCAGACTAGAGAGAGATGGACCTCGAAAGTTCAAAACAGATCAGAGTGTAGGAACTCAAGCTATGCCACAAAAAACTACCTTCTTCTTGAAAACTCTGTGTGAACTTCTGGGTTGAGCCCTGAACCTGGATGCCTGGGTTTTGGTGGTGGCTACATACCATATTTGCTGCGATGTGGCCACTACAACTATTCCTATGCATTTTTGATCTGACTACAGTGATGCACACCTTATTTATTCATATTTTGATTACTATAATGAGCTGCCTTTGAAAATGTTTGGGATAGTTCAGCGGGTCCTGAATATTGAAGCCAGACTGCTGACCAATTACAAGAAGAATGTCACAATGCTTTAACTAGCTACCTGTCTTTTTGAGCTTGGTTCAAAGTATTGGTTAGATAACTTAGGTCCATATTTTCCTATTAAAGCTTATCTCAACCCTGAGATCTCTATGAGAAGTCCTCCCCTTAAACTCACTACTCCCTGCGGATGAGACTATACTGGCTGCTAAAGCTGGGGACAGCATTTATGTTCTAGATTGACCTTGAAGGCAGCCAGATGTAGTGTCCTCCAAGTTAAGCTAATTTGTACCTTTATAACGAAGAAGCAGAATACTTGGCTTTCAAGAATGGACCACAATAGACCAGGGGTCCTCAAACTTTTTAAACAGAGGGCCAGGTCACAGTCCTTCAAACTGTTGGAAGGCCAGATTGTAATTTGAAAAAAACATGGATTCCTATGCACATTGCACATATCTTATTTGTAGTGCAAAAATACTTAAAAATACAATAATTAAAATGAAGAACAATTTAAACAAATATAAACTTATTAGTATTTCAGTGGGAAGTGTGGGCCTGAGATAGGATTGTTGTTGTGTGCTTTCAAGTAGTTTCAGACTTAGGTTGACCCTGAGCGAGGGCTGGGTAAATGACCTTGGAGGGCCGCATCCGGCCCCCAGGCCTTAGTTTGAGGACCCCCGCAACAGACAAACAATGACTTCCATTTTTTTTAGTATAACTGAGAGTGGGGGGAAGGCCTTCTAATATTGACATACCTTTTTTGAGTTTGGTGGTTTATTGATTCTTGGTTTCTTGGACTTTGAATAACTTACACCATCTTCCTGCCAACATGTTGAAGCATTAAAGCAAATTACATTTACATTTAAGAAAATCAAACCACTTTGTACCATGTAGGTCTGAGCCAACAACTATGCTAACAAATGTTATTCTAATCTTTTACACATTTTTACATTACAGTGTTGAGGCAATATGCATATGTTAAATAAAGTATAAAAATGTATCATCTAAATGTTTTGGGTTGTGCTTCTATATTTGATGTTGGCGACAGCAATGGGGATAATAATAATAAAGACAGAAGCACGTTTTAGACACCAGAGCTGAAGGACTTACACCAAGCAAATATTTTAATCACAATTACAATTTCAAAGGGAGAAGAGTATGGGAAAGAGAATGGGGTTATAATATTTAGCAACTAAGTCACTGTAAAAACACTTAAAATCCAGTTCTAGATTAAATCATGTTCTCTGTAGGGTTTTTTTCCTCTTTGTAAGAGCCAATATTTAAAATATCCCATTCACTTACTCACAAAAATGTCTCCTATACAACCTTTACCTGGTGTCTTTTGCTGCTTTTATTTGGCACAGATGTCAAACAGTTTTCGGAGTAAATCAGGCATGGATTCTGGTTTTCACAATGCAATGACTTATTTGGTTTTAACATCTTAAAATAAAGTAAAAAATGAATCTTATTCCACAATTCATTTAATATAAATAAAAATTGAAATACATATTTCCAATTCTATTATACTCAAGAGGAAAACACATTATACCTGCCCCTATAAGTTGGTTATCTACATTATAAGTCAACCCACAATCTCCAATAGTCTATCCACAAATAATAAACTACTACATCTCAGTAAAGCATTTGGATGGATACAGAACAGGGTACATTGAATCCCAAGTAGTTTAAATGATATACTTTATTGATCTAGTTTATCAAGAGTTTCTCTAGGCTTGGTCCTCTGATATAATTGATTGCTCAGTTGCTAAGGGCTCCAGTTCTGGTATGATATCAAATATTCTGGTCCTCTAAAAACAGCAACAACAAAAAAAAATCTGGGAACTATTTCAGATTCCATCCTTCAACTGCACAAAGCATTCAGTTCCCTAGATCAGTTATATTTCTAAACCACCAGCAGCTGGGTATAATAATGCATTTTCATTTGTCTACAGTCAGAAGACATTCCAACTTCACCTTCACCTGGCTCCAGAGATAGCTGGAGGATAATTAAAAATGTGGTTCAATGGTGTAACTCTTAGTTTAGGAGTGGAAATACTGCAGTCAACAGAAGACCCTGGATAGTGTTTGGGAGTACCAGGGTCTGCCTATCCCACCTCCATATTTATTTATTTATTGCTGGAGAGAAATGCCTCTGAGATATGGTTTTGTTCTTACATGCTGTTTTCTTGCCATACAGTACAAAAATGAGATTTTAAAAGTGATCTGAATATTACTCTTAGCCACAGAAAATGGGTGATGGGGCCTGAATAGGGATTAGGGGTACTGATAGTGGGCTTTAAGCTGCAAATCCTGTCTCAGGTAATGAAGGAGTACTAGAAAGAGAGAAGTGACTGAATTCTGTGAGATGAACGGTCTGTTCACTGCAAACATATTCTTCAGGCAACTAAATGTATGTCACTAGATGGCCAATATAGAAATCAAATAGACTACAAAATCAGAAGCAGAAGATGAAGAAGTGCTATTCTCTCTACAAAACAAGTCCAGAAACAGATTGTTGCTAATATCAAAAATTAAAGTAAAGCTAAAGAATATCACTAAACCAATAATTGAGGAACATTCCCATATAATTTTTTAAAAATGTAAAAAAATAGATTCACATTAATGGGGAGCCAGAAGTTCAGACTGACCATGCCATCGTATTTCTAATTTCTATGTAGGATTGTGAAACCTGCATAGTGAGGAAAGTTGATAGGAAGAAAATCAACTCATTTGCAATGTTGTGTCAGAGAAGAGTTGTATAAAGGACTAAAAAGATAAATCTGCAGCCCCTAAAGCAAATCAAGCCTCAACTCTCCCTAGAAACCAAGATGACTAAACCGAGACTTTGGAAATATCATGAGAAAATATGATTCACTAGAAAGACAATAATTCTTGATAATGTAGAGGATTGTAGAAGAGGAAGATTGCATTATAGTGAGATAAACTAATCAAGGAACTCACAGCCTTGAGTCTGTAAGACCTGAGTAAAGCTCATTCACTAAGTCACAATAAATACCAGCATGTACATTCAGACCATTCTCTGGGAAGGGACTTAGCTGCACTAGTGAAACACGTGATAGAGCACATATGAATCATTCACAGTCTGAGCTAATTATCAGTTAGTTCACATAAGTAAGTAATCTAGCAACAAGAAACTTAACAAATAGGCTTGGAACTTCACATAACAAAAATGCTTTCCTCTGATTTCTGCATTCTCCTTTGAATCACCACGAAGCCTCTGATAATGATATGTCCTAAACTGTGCTGATGTTTATTACCCGTTGATGATGACTGGATGCCTTTGTAGTACCTTGATTTAAATTTTGATGATTTTATTATTTTTTATTTATACCTCACTTTTTTGTCTAAAAAGAGACTCAAAGAAGCTTACAGTGAATCCAATCCAATCCAATTAAAAACCTAGAAATATACAAATATTAAAACAGAGTTAAATATAAAAGGTATTAAAAATGAACAGTTAAACTCTTAAAACCCATTTGTGATCTTACCATTTCTTTTTGTTCTCCAGTTTTCTTTGCCCTCTTGCGCACTGAACTGCTTGATCTGCACACATTCAGTTTTGCTTCTTCAGCTGAACTTTGTGTTTGATTCCAAATTATGGTGGATTTTGTTTTATCTACATTTGAGCAAGCTATGTAGAGATGGCTTTTCTGTGAACAACTGGTCAGGGCATTATTTCCCATTATGAAATTTGCAGGTTTATTCAAATGTTGTTGGACAACTGGTGCAGGATGTGCTGATTGATCGCTGGTAGATGTCAAAGGTGGATTTAATCTTTTGGGTTTGATTGTACTTGAATTATTACCCCAAATGATTCTGTTAGTTGAAGCACCATTTGATAGGAGTCCACCATTCTCGTTTTTCTCTTTTAAGCTCGGTTTAGCAGATTTTATATTGTTTTTTCCATTCTGTATCTGAACAACACTTCTGTGTGCAATATTACTTAATGAAGTGTCCTGTAACAATTTGTCACGTTGGGCTGGACTCGACTTGAATACAGCTGATTTAACAGCTGAGCTAACTGTCATTACTTTTGCTGAATATTGTGAAATGTTCTGTTTTTTCTTTCCATTTATGGCTTTTGTGGTTTGCCTATCCATCTGCAACAGTTTTCCTTTGAAAATTGGTATGATTTTAGTGGAATTTTCACTTGTAAAACTATTTGAGATTCGAAAAGAATCTTTTGATACAGATTCTTTTGAAGTTCTCCACTCTTTCTTGCTGTAGACTTTCCTCTCCACTCCCCCTGGGTTTGTGTCTTTTCTCAGCAAACTGAGATTAGAAAAGATACCTGTATTTGGCGGCTTGGCTTCAAGCTCCATCTTGTGGCTGTTTCCTATAGTACAGGTTAAAGGGCTGAACAATATAGATCTTGGGGAAATTACTTGGGTCAGAGTTAACTTGTAGTTTCTTTTTTCAGTAAGATTAGCTGGTTTAGAGTTCATTTTCTAAAATACAATAAATCAAATAATAATTTGAGTTACATTATATAAAATTAATTGATTGGGAACAGGATATATTTTCATAATATTAAAATATATATGATCTTTAAGTATAAGCAATATATGCCATTATCCCACAAACTATTGTAACCTTATCAAGAAAGTTAGTCAAAGCTATGGCATAATGATGTAGATGCAAAGATAAACCTAGAAAGCATACTGCCCCAAACCGACAATGAAAACCTGAGCTTCAGCAATGGCTGGATCCATGCTGCCATATAATACAGTCAGTATCTGTATTATATAGTCAGTGTAGACCCACATAATGCAGTTTAACTGTATTGAACTGTACTGTATGACAGTGTAGATCCAGCCAAGAGTGGATTATCACAATTCTTTATAGGTACAGAATTTCCAAATTCACTTATATACAAGCTCTCTGAAATACCCTCCATAGTCAAATTACTAGTTGTAATAATCTTATACCCATGCTGGACACAAGTATGTTTATAATAATCTCTATTTCTTCAATACTGATTTATAAGTAAACATTTGATTGTGTGTTACTATATTTGCTTATGCAAGGGTCTCTCACAACAGAAGGATGGACAGCTTTTACAATACAGTTATTGCGAATCAATAGGGGCATGCCAGGAACAAGCATTATAGTCAGTCTCTGGGACAGATCTGATACATTAAATTTAAAGCTACTGAGCATCCTGCACTCCAACAGGCTATATTGTAATGCCATAAAGCAGTGCTGGATTTTGCTCATTAGTCACCAGCAGTGAAAATTTACTTAGCTCAAACTTGATCTCATTTCTGCAAGAACATTCTCAGCACCAATTGACATTATTGATTCAAACTCACATGTACAGAACAATGAGAAGTCTTGACTCTTCAGTTAAAGAAGTTCATTATGATGCTTTAATATATTACAAACATTGTTTTCTAAAGTCAAATAAGTAGCAAACTGGAGATTATGATTACACATCCTAAGTAGTTAGACGATTTGGAACAGTTTTTGGTAAACATTTGCAGATATTGGAGTGGCAGTAAGAAAAAAAAACATAACATATAGCAAAAATTACCCAGACTGCACATATGTTCATTTCCACATGAATGCAATAATTATACTCATTATTACATTTCTGATATGTCATATACTACCTCAATCCCATAAAACTAGTAAAGAGGGTTTTCCTTTCTATAATAGTAAGAATCAAAGCAATTATCCTTGTCATAGTTCTATCAATTATACGTACATAAAAAAGAAAAGTCAGAGCATTTTTTACCTGAGCAGATGCTTGTGTAAGTTCTTTTGTGGCATATAGTGCTTTATTTGTCATCTTAAGGGGAAACCCACATGTATGAATAATAGTTTTCACATCAGTAATAAAAGCATCTAAAACACCTTCCAAATTTATTCTGGGAAAGTACTGGACTGGTTGACTTCTGATGCAACTCATAGGATATCTGGATTGCTGTTAAGTGCTGAAATAATTCTTGGAGAAATGTCTACGAAGAAGTAATACTTTCTTGAGCAACATAAATGTGAAGGAGAGGGGAAACAAGCTATCAAGGGCCACTTCCCCACTAGACCCAATGAAATGGATGGGAGCAACAAAGGAATGCTCTTCTCTAGCTTCCTTTTGTAGGAGAGCCACTAGGGAATGTTCATGAGGAATTTCCAAACTAATTTGAACAAACTCTATAGTCAACCTTCCACAGTCACTTCAGTTAGTGGTACAAAACTACAGAGAATAAACCTGTGAATAAACATGACAAAAAAACCCCCTGCTCTAGGAATCTCTGGGTCCTCCAGCATTACTCTACAACCTCTTCTGAAGGCTGCCCTTAAAATTGCACAGGACCTGCAGATACCTGCAGAGATGTTATCTTTAGAAATCTCTAGGTTCTCCAGCATGAAGGAAGTCGATTATAGAGTCATAATGGGTATAGAGTTTTCTTTAATCGCATCAATGAATACTATAGTGAGCCTCTGGTGGTGCAGCAGGTTAAACTGCTGAGCTGCTGAATTTGTTGACCGAAACGTCGACAGTTTGTATCTGGGGAACAGAACTCCATGCAGTCATGCCAGCCACATGACTTTGGAGGAGTCTACAGAGCACCAGAGTCAGACACAACTGGACTTAATGTCAGAGGAAAACCTTTACCTTTACCTAAAGAAATGAATGGTTGCAGAGAGTTCTAATTGCTTTCCAGTTGTGATTCTCTTTAGCCACCTGTGTATTTGAGCACCACCCCCAGTTGGACACGACTAGACTTAATGTCAAGGGGAAATCTTTACCTTTATTTATGAATAATCAAACTGTAAAAATCGAAACTGCAAATGTGGATGCCAACTGTATATTTGATCCACAACATTCTCAATTGAGGCGTCTCATTTAACAACAATTGTGACGAATGACATCATGGGGCTACTATAAAGCAATCACTAATTTCTCACATCAGCTACTTACACTTGAGGCCATTTATGCATCTCTGAATACCTGTGTTGAAAGTGACTCAGGGTGCAAAAGGGCTTGATACAAGGTCAGGGATCACAAATGATAGTTCAGTATGCAGTTTTTAAAAATACAAAAGATACGTGAAGAGTTGCTCTCCTATGAATTTGAAGTAAACATTGCAATACTTCTGGGGATCCTTTGATAGGCTATAGCCGTACTAAAGAAAATATACAGATATGTATAAAATTATACAAGTAAAGAATTCCTTGTATAGGATGTAATGGATAATGGAAACAAAGGGCAACGACACTGTCATACCAGATTTTTCCAATGCAACTGCAACTCATTGTATGATTGAAAAGGAGAATCGGATGGAATAAAATGACTGATGTTTATGATCTGACCCATTTTCATACTGTACAGAGGTAAGAAAGAGATAATTTGGTTAAAAAGTATAGTCCTCTAGTAAAGACTTTTGAGATAGATGGTACCATGCTAGTGAGCCAGTTGTACCACTATAACATCACTTAATTTGAAACAACTGACTTATTTTTGGAAGAAATAGAACTATTGCAATATTTATATCTTCATACTGGAAAGTTATCTTACAACATCTTAAAATATTTTATCCAGATTCCCACATAGAAAAAAGAAGCTGCTGATCAATTATATAGACGAAAACCATATTTAGTTTGATAGAGTTTTAAATAAGTTACAGGAAGAAAACCATTTTCTTCTAGAAAGGTGAAAAGATTAAAATAGTATGTGAGGAAAGCCTTGAAAGGCAGGTTTTCAAAATTAAAATCAAATGTGCATTAACACATGGCAATTGAAAATTCTCTGTTTTTGAAATTGTATTAACAAAGATAAAAGTAGAAAAAAATCAATTTTGCTTTGCTCATGAAGAATGTAAAAATAATCAAGTTATATCAGTAATTTTTCTTGTCAAAGCATTAAAGAAATACCTTGGCAATACATAACACCAGTTACTTAAAATAGAACATCCTTGAATGACTGCACTACAATCACTGTCAAATTTCTTTATGATGTTTGTTGAAATATCAAAATCTTCTAGCTAGAAAAAGAAAAAAATAATCAATTTAGTAATATTTCAAATGTATAAAACACTCAAAGCAAGGAAGTATTGCGTCAACAAAAGATACCTCAAATTTATGCTGAATTACTATATTTAATGAAAATTAATAATTTTGACATTCACAAAGTGTTTTAGGGAACAATCATCCATGTGACACCATCCTAGGAGCCATTGGAGAGATCAGATTACTCCTCTCCTCCATCACCAAAGGCTAGAGACAAAGGTCTGAATCCTTTTGGTAGATAAAACTAGAAGAAACCAATTAGATCAATAATATTTCCTACTTTTGGGATTAATATAGAATGTAGGACAGAGTTTCAACCTTGGAGATGAAGACCCAGTCTTGGCTCCACTTCTCCTCTCTTTATGGCCAGTTCTACACAACCACAACATTTGGGGTGGAACCGGCATGCAAAATGCCAGTTCCAACACACATTGTGGGGTTCCATTGTTCCATGTCCTGACAGAGACACCTTACCTTAGGCCCTCCTCATTTTCTTTGTCCTCTTGGCATGAGGACAACGTGGCCCGCTGCATCCTTATGCCAAAAAGATGAGTCCTCTAGAGCACTCTCAGGCAACACCTGTCTCACCCTCCTTGCAGTATGAGGATTGAGGAGGATCGAAAGGAGGATTGGGATGAAGGATTGGGGCATTTGCTACATGTCTTGCCTTTCTCCCAGTATAAGGATGGGGTGAGCAGTCCTGTCCTTATGCCAGGAGGACCTGAGGATGACCCAGGCCCTGCCCTGCCCTCTCCTGGCCTCTCTCCCTCCTGGCCCAGTTCGCAATGCGGCTCCAAGGCAAAAAAGTTTGCCCATGCCTGGTATAAACTCTTTAAAAAGGTAAAGGTAGTCCCCTGACATTAAGTCCAGTCATGTCTGACTCTGGGGTGTGGTGCTCATCTCCATTTCTAAGCCAGAGCCAGCGTTGTCCGTAGACACCTCCAAGGTCATGTGGCCAGCATGACTGCATGGAGCGCCGTTACCTTCCCGCCGGAGCGGTACCTATTGATCTACTCACATTTGCATGTTTTTGAACTGCTAGGTTGGCAGAAGCTAGGGCTGACAGCAGAAGCTCACGCCGCTCCCCGGAATCGAACCTGTGACCTTTCGATCAACAAGCTCAGCAGCTCAGTGCTTTAACCCACTGCGCCACCGGGGGCTCCCAAACTCTTTAGTACTGAGAAAAGAAAAAAGATATACTTTCTTGGCAATATTCTGCCACCTAGGTTTAGACTGCACAAACAAAATTTAGAAGCACATATTGTTTAAAACAAAGAGGTATTTTCCTTGGAAAAAAAATATAATGCTTTGTTTTCTGATATCCTTTGATCTCCTTAAATCTATGAAAAGTATAATAGGCTTGGTTTATTGGGGGTGTGAGAAAAAAATACTTCTAGAATTAATCACAACCAGCTGTGTTTAATCACAACCAGCTGTGTGTTTTTTTAAATTTTTTATTGATTTTCACCAAAATTTACAATAAAACATTCATTTTTTTTCTTTTATGAATGAATGTTTTATTGTAAACTTTGGTGAAAATCAATAAAAAATTAAAAAAAACAACCAGCTGTGTGAACCATCTCTTAGTAACAACAAAGCTTATCAGGAAACACTGAATTGCTCTGTACCTTAGCTGGAGGTAGCCGGATCGTACAAACTTCCACACTGATGCAAAGCTGAGTTTCTAATACGTTGATGTCCATAACTGAAATAAAATCGATAGTCCAATATGTTTTCCAACAGGACTGGGATCCAAGTAAAGACACATTGTTTAGCATCACATGCTTGAGGAAATCACATGCTTGAGGAAATCCCCATTGCTTGTGGCTGCAGCCTTTGTTGCTGAATTCCTAATCATTACAGCAGAGGTGACACAATATAATTTTCTTAACCTTCCTGTGACTTTGGAATGAGACAGTGATGTCCACAAGGTTAAACTTGCAATGTGCTTTACATTGTGCTAACTCTGTACCAATTTCAGGCTTACTTACTTACTTAGGCGAACCCTCGTAGTCTGAGGATGATGGTCCTCCAAGTGTAGTGTCCTGGCGGTGGGTCCATAGGTGACTGTGGAGCCCTATTCTTGATCTGCATCTTCTCCCGCAGTGAGGGCATTGGTTTCCAGGTGGTCCCGGTTGGGTAGGCTTGACGCGCCTTCCTCTTGGCATGTTTCTCTCTTTCGCCCTCCATTCGTGCCTCTTCAAATTCTACAGCACTGCTGGTCACAGCTAACCACCAACTGGAGCACTCAAGGGCTCAGTGTCTATGCCAAAGTTTTTAAGGCTGGCTTTGAACTTGTTTTTAAATCTCTTTTCCTGTTTTCCAACATTCCGTTTTCCATTACTGAGTTCGGAATAGAGCAACTGCTTTGGAAGACAGTGGTCGGGCATCTGGACAACGTGGCCGACCACCGTCTTCTAGCACTGAGTTGATGGCGGAGGACCATCACTTCAATACTGGTGGTCTTTGCTTCTTCCAGCGTGTTGACATTTGTCAGCTTGTTTTCCGATGAGATTTGCAGGATTTTTTGGAGGCGGCGCTGGTGGAATCATTCCAGGAGTTGCCTGTGACGTCTGTAAACAGTCCACGTCTCGCAGGCATATAGCAGGGTTGGGAGAATAATAGCTTTATAAGCAAGCACCTTGGTATCCCTACGGATGTCCTGGTCCTCAAACCAATTTTGGAAACTCCAATTAGTTCAATTAGTTCAAAATGCAACAGCCAAATTGGTCACAGAAACATCCAGGTGTGGGCATATTACACTTATATTAAAGTCACTCCACTAGCTGCCAATTAGTTTTGGGGAAAGTACTAAGTGTTGGTTTTGACTTTAAAGCCCTACATGGTTTGGTCCAGGTGCTGTGTACTCCTCTTCTGAGGAGGAGGAGGAGGTAGAACAGGAGGCTGAAGATGTAGGAGTTGAGGATTTGGGGCCAAGTGTTGAGGCGGAAGAAGGGGGAAAGGAAAACATACTGCCGGTTCCTATGTTTCAGGAACGCCAAAGGGCAAAAGAAGAAAAGAGAAGGTCAGCTAGAATTGCTGCAAGGACTCTGATCAATCAGACCTCATCCTGGGAACACCTGTGCAGGGAGCTGAGGGCTATAAATCAGCAGTAAAGCAAGTGGCCAATGCTGGCAGCAACTGTTCTACTTAGTGCTTCTGTTATCTAGTTTCCTTGCTTGCAGCTCCAGTGTCTGCCAAGTGCCTCACTTTTTGCCATGTCTAATGTAAAGCTTTTGCTTTCCTTTTGGGATTTACCTGCTATTCTTTTGCTGCTGTTCCTTATATTATTATAATTTTGCTCAAGTAAAGTTTAGTTGCTTTAACCCTTGTTGTAAGGCTGTCAATGGTGCAAAACAGGACACCTACAGGTTATCTACAGGATTGCATTATCCCATACAATCGGCCCCAAACTTAGTTCCTACTCCAGCCTGCCAGAACCCGGCTGGTAACTATCACCCAGTGGACCTTTTCATCAGCTGCCCCAAGACTGAAGAGGTTTGAGAAGAGATTTGACAGCTAGATCAGTTGTCGGAATTTAAGACACAACTGAAGATTCATGCTTTCTGGCAGGCCTACCCAGTCAATTTTAAGTCGTGATTTTAAATCTGCATTTCAGTGGTAGATTTTAACTTATATTTGAACTCTGTGTTTCTTGTTATTTGTCTTTTAATAGTGTTTTATCTCTTATTTTAATAATGCTGTATCCCACCTCAAGCCACAGGGAGAGGTAGAGAATAAATGCATTATTGTTGTTGTTGTTATATCAAATTTGTGCTTTTAACAACACAGCACATTTATGGGGCTCTCTATGCATGGTGATGTGGAGTTCGGTGCTAAACTGCAGGAATATCTGTTATAGTGAATACGCTTTTTTTTCTTCTGTATGTTTTTGATGCTGCTAGGAGAACATAGGACAGTCTCTCCCTCCATCCCAAATACCACTACTGTGGCCTCTGTGGGAGAGAGGAACAGTCAGTATCTGCTGAACTTAACCCCTTTCCCAACTGCCACCCCCTTTTCCTTTTATGTCTTTTAGATTGCAAGCCTGAGGGTAAGGTTCTGTCAAATTGGCAGCGGTGTAAGTGCTTGTATTATCTGCTTGCATCATGGCTGAGGAATCAGGGTTGTAAAAATACAGTGTTCTTCACCAGATTTTAGTATGAAAAACCTTGTAGAGGTTTGGCTTATGATAATTTCTGTGATATATTTGATGTCTACAAAATTTTACTATTAATCAGCCACTGACGTATGCTTACACATCAACAAGATAATATGAGATCGAAAAGAACCATATATTTTTTCCTTAATTGATATTGTACTCACCAATTGCATTTTGCTTTCCATGTTGCGACAGAAAATCTTTCCCTTTAAAAAGGAAATTGGCACATATTACGAAATTTCCTTTTGCTATGATCAAAGCCTTATGAAACTGTATTTTGGAAAGGATGGTCTTGTGCAAGAAAAATATTTCTTGTGCAACACAGAAGAAATGAAAGATGTGGCAGTTAGAAGTCCTCTAAAATTAACATGTATGCAAAAAAAAAATGCTACTGTTTTCATAATTTTAAAAACTCTCATTATGTACATAAAATTCCATAAAATCACAATCTAACCAAACTTGTTTTTCTGAATATCTCAGAATTTGGAACTTAACTCTATGCCCTACACCACTGGAGAAATTACACTGTTTAGCTAGTATCACCACCTGACATCCGCCAGGAAGCAGCAGCTAGCAATGAAAGGACCAAGGCATTGACATCTTTGGCCCATCCTCTGTTCAGATATCAGCCAGCATGCAAATGCCTTGAATCAAGAAACAGCTTCCTAAGATCTACAGAGATACTCGCAGGAACACTTCAGCAAGCGAGAGTCCAAAAATGGCAGGCTAAAACCCAGCACCTCAAACAGTGGCTGAGACCAGACTCACTTCTGGGCACACACAAGACTGGGCGACCTGGAAGGCGCTGAACAGGCTGTCCTCTGGCACTACAAGATGCAGAGCTAACCTTTAGAAATGGGACTACGAAGTGGAGTCCATGACATGCAAGTGCGGAGAAGAGCAAACCACAGACCACCTACTACAATGCAGCCTGAGCCGTGCCACATGAACAATGGAGGACCTTCTTACAGTGACACCAGGGACACTGAAAGTGGCCAGCTTCTGGTCAGAGGACATTTAGCATAATGCCAAGTTCTTTTTTTTAAAAAAATATTGTGTTTTTGAATGCATTTTAACTGCACCCTCAACTCACTTCTAACACGATAAATAAATAACCTGGCATGCTAATTTTTCCAGTGCATGAAATGTTTATGTAAATGTTTTACAGTGATATGAGCTCTTTCTACAACCTTGACTGCTACAGTCCAGACTAGTTTTATACATTCCACCCACTGTTTATAAGGTATGGCTATGAATATGAACTGGAACGCACATTTATTATTTTTATATCAATTTATTCTTATTGTCCATATGTCTGGTTTTTTTATTATTTATAAATATACTATCTGATAACCAACACCATATAACAGGGATTACAATATCCAGTGGTAAGTATGCAATGGGATGTGGGGGAGACTGATGAACTGTAAAAAAGGGTTCTTGTTCTCAACAGTGGTGCATTGTTCTTCACGGAGAAAGAAGAAATGTAGCTGTATACCCTAGCTTAATCATGTCCAGTTAGATGTCAGAACATAGATTCCTTTTCACTGTTCTCTGTCAACCTACTTGCAGTTATAGAGACAGTTTGATGGCAAACCAAGATTAGGAAGAATACAGAAATATACAAAGATTCTAGATATTTCTCAAAAATTCATGTACATTTTGAATACCTTGAGAATGACAGAACAAAAAAATGATAGCAGGAAAATGTATGGAATCTATAGTAAATATTTTACACTATAGGTGTAAATGTCAGCAATTCTAGAAAATACCTTGTATCAAGAGGTGACCAGCTTGGTTCCATTTAGGAGCAAGTTTGGCTGTAAGTGTATAAGAAAGACAGGCCTGAAAGACAGCTGGGATAACTCTCTCTGGCACTGTCATCTAACAAGAGAGAAAAAACAATTATTTATTCATTTTTATTTATTTAATTTTTTTTCTTTAAGAAAACCATTAGTCATATTCAACAAGTGAGGAACGCTATATGAAGTTGTATTACACTGTATAAGAACAGTAGTACCTCTAGCCTACTCTAACTTACTCCATCTAGATGCAAAAAATATGGAGCAATAGTCATAAAATAGACAGTTGCCTGGCAATTTGTGATCTGGGAAATACCTACCATAGTGGAATGGACTGTGACCCTTGCATGGGGACAGAAATGGAGAGAAGGGAATTAACCAAATGTACTGATCCTTGGCCATCACTTACATTTCTCCTCCTGTCCTCCTTTTTATGCTGCAAGAGTCTAGAATAGATACTGCTTTGAAAATTAAGAAGGCTAATTGAACCTTTAGAAGCAATGGCAGCTTTCTTTCCAGGTCAAATTACAGCTGCAATCTGAACTGGGGCCATGTGGGAGAGAAGGGTTAAATTCTTTCTTCCAATATTCTATCCCTATTAAACCTGATTTTCATCCTTTCATTACTGTCACTTCTGCAAGATACTCGATTCATGTGAAGACATATGGTTTGTCAAATGAAAACCCATATACATAGCTTTCTATTATGAATAAAATATGGAATATCTTGCCGTATCCAGCATGATCTAGTAAATTTGCTGGCTAATGATATTATTTAGTGGCAGTGCTAAACGATGCCAATAAAGTGAAATCTGTATATTCATACCGGAAATGCCACTTTTTTGAGTTGCAGCTGTAGGATAGAGATTATTAAGCAGTGTTCGTAGTAAGCAAGAATGTCATAAAAATCAAGACAGCACAAAAATGCCATACTAATAAAATTTAAACAAGATTTCGCGTTATGGGAGAAAAATGAAAATATGACCTAACTTCCAAAGATGCAATTCAGTTCATATTTTGGAGTTTATCATATGAAACACACAAATCACAACTGCATTTCTTGCAAAAGTGATCCAGGGTTCTATGGCCATGATGGATGCTTGCTCTTCACTGAGTCATTTTGAAAACTACCTGAAATATTTTCTTTTGTACTTTGGCCAAGTTTGCATCCTCCAATTCTTACTGATATTTAACTCTATGGTATGTAATGGAAATTTAAAAAAAGGAGTTTATCACACAGGCAGGAGAATTTTAACAACAGCAAGACAACAGCATCAGATCGTGCTGCTCCTTTCCCACTACTCTTTCAGGGATAACAACTTAGAAAGTATTTCTTTCATAAACACAAATAATCTTTCAGTGACCTTTTGCAAAACAAATGCTTTCAGGTGGTCTGTCACTAGGAGAGTGATAGGAAGGTAGTGATGTCAAGTGATACAAGGCAAAGACACTGTTTTGCTGTAATTACAATTTGCTTGCTTTGTGTGATAAAGTCTTTTCCATGACAGAGTCAAATACCAGCAGGCAAAGGATGATCCAAATTTTGCTGAGGTAGCAAAATAATAATAATAATAACAACAATAACAATAATAACAAACAGAACAATGAGGTAGAATCCAAAACTACCCAGTGAGAATTGAGCATTTTCCATAACCAATGAACACCAGAAGAAATGAATCAGAAAAACTGTGAAGAAGAAATCTAATGGTATATCTTTGATGATGCCAAATGCCTCCCTGTCCAGAATCTTAAGAGCAGCAATTCGTAGTGCAATATTTTATTGTAGGTTCCACTTGTTCTGCTGAACTCCAAACAGCAAAGCAATTCCAATCTGAATTGTTTCTCTCCTGTCTCCAGATAGATCTGGTGCAAGTTATACTTGAAGATTGCATCCATCAAAGAACATTAAGGTTCCTCCTCCTAACTACTGTTTCCCCAAAAATAAGACAATGTCTTATATTTATTTTTCCTCAAGAAGACCCACTATGGCTTATTTTCAGGAGATGTCTTATTTTTATTAAGTATGGTACAACAATCTGCATTTATTCAAATATAGTGTCGAGTAAAATAGCAGCCACAGCTTTACTTCTTTCTCCTGAGGACACACAATGCCTAAAGCAGAGTGTCCTGCTCCTCATTTCACTGAGGAGATTTCCTGGGGAACAGGCCAAAGGGAAGCAGCGCTGCCACTCACTCCCTCTCTCACTCAATCAATCAATCGGGGAGGAAGCCTTGCCTTGCCTGGCCTAGCTCGAAGGGAAGAAAGAACAGGAGGAGAAGGAGACAAAAGAGGAGGAGAAGGGGAGGCAGGAAGTAAGAAGGGGAAGGCCAGGACTCGACTCTGCAGATGCTGCAGAAAGTTCTTGCATTTCACTTTCTATGTCTCTCTCTATGCCTCAGCTTGTATCACCATGTCTTATTTTCAGGGTCTGGCTTATATTGTGCAAATGCTTAGAAATCCTGCTATGGCTTATTTTATGGGTATGTCTTATTTTCGGGGAAATATGTAATTGTGACCATCATTTAGGACAGTTTAGGGGCAGATATAGTGATGCACCCATTCACAACAATCAATACTATCCAATTTTTGTTTTTAAAAAGTTATATATTATTAGAATATTACTGCATATATGAATCACTGACTGGATTTCATTAGGCAGCATTGTAGAGCAATAATACTTTCACAGAAAAGATAAAAAGATACTATCTGATTATTAAGCAACTGAATGTTATTCTGCCTATTCTGATAACCAAGTTGAAAATTATTCACTAAACGCTCCCAAACCAGTTCAACCACTTCCATCAAGAAGACAAGTAAAACCAGAAAATCAACAAGAAAGCGTCATGGTGTAATGTTTGACACTCCACCGTGAGTTATTTAAAAATATGTA